CTTTGTCGAGTACAGGTAGTCTTTTCACTACTAGATGAATTAAATAAAAAGACACTTACTCAACCATTTCTGTCCTGTCTGGGAATTGAACCCACTATTCCCGATTGTCTGTCGAGAACGAACCCAACTGTGCTATGGAAACCCCAGGTTTAATTCAGCAATAATCCCTATATGTGTGGATGTGTTTATTCACTACTTGTGCCTGCTGGATCGAGCTCTTAGCTCTTGGACCAGCCATTTTTTCCAGTCAGTTGTCTAATGTACCTAACCTACTTTTGTACTGCAATATATCTACCATTGAAATTAATGGAGTAATTTCTAGCACCTGTTTGTTTAGTTCATTTCAATGTTTCTACTATTCATACGAAAAAAAAGCTTTCAAACATCTCAGTAGCTAATTTGTTTTCTCAAGATTCATTCATACTCTCTTGTTCTGCTGGTATATATTGTAAACATTTCCACTTTTTCCTCTCTGTCAATTGTTCTTAGTATGTTATGTCTCTCTCTCTCTCTCTCTCTCTCTCTCTCTCTCTCTCTCTCTCTCTCTCTCTCTCTCTCTCTCTCTCTCTCTCTCTCTCTCTCTCTCGTGACACTAAGTCCAACTCTTTCAGTCTTCATGCTCCATCCCTTGTGAATGTGGGATGATCCTCATTGGATATCCCTGTATGTACCTTTGCAAGTTTCCTTGTGCTTCTTGAAGAAAGAGAATCATTATAGGAAGTGGGATCTCCACGGTGAGCCGCACACTCTGGGACTGGTCTCACGTAGGTGATGTACAGTTTTCCGAATCTGAATGCCTTTTATTCTACAGGTGGGTACAGGACTAGACGACTTCTGACTCAAGTTAGCAGGCTTACAACTTTCTCTTTCTATAGCTCATGGTAAGCCTTACTTTGTTAGTTTATTCTAGAACATGGTCCACCATTCGGTTTAATTGGGCATAAATCCTTAACTTTTCGCCCTGAGTTAACGGGGGCGAACAGTTAAAGACTGATGCCCAGTCAATCCACCTCCGGCCATGGCTCGAACCCAAACAATATTACTGGTGAGGCGCGGGACGTGATACCACTACGCCACATATTTACGTTCTTGAATGGTGTTCTGACTTGTGCCAGTGTAGAGTATGCTGATGATATTAATCTCTTGAAATGTGCCAAGGAGTGCCGGACCAACCGGGCTGTGGTGGGTATGTGGGCCTGCGGGCCGCTCCAAGCAACAACCTAGTGGACCAAACTCTCACAAGTCAAGCCTGGCCTCGGGCCGGGCTTGGGGAGTAGAAGAACTCCCAGAACCCCATCAAGCAGGTATCAAGCAAGTGCCCCCAGAGTTAGGCTTGGTGTATATCTGCCCCTCTAGGACTTCCTTTCAAGTCGTTACAGGGGACGTAGCTTTTTTTCAAATTATACTATCCTGCTGTGGTCTCCTTTTACCTGTTTCCGTTTACTATACCTTATACTTGCCTGTATTAAAATCCGGTAGCCATTTCTCGGACCAACTCTGCAGTCTGTCCAAGTGTATTTTACAATCCTCATCTGTCTCGACTCTTAAATGAACATCAACACGTAGGACTCATCCTCACAGTTAGGTCATTAACATAATTGAGAAATAGCATGGGTCCTAGCAGTGATCACTGCGGGAACTTCTTGTTATCGTATACTAGAACGACTTTGGGTTTCTCGCTCTGACTCTTTAACTCCTGTCTGTTAGGTACTCTCATTCATATCAGCGTTTATTTCACTTGCTTCACCGTGTCTTTCAAGCATGTGTAATAGTCTCTTATACGGAAATAGCTTAAAGTTTTTTGGTAGTCCAGAAATACGTAATCTGCCCATCCTCTGTCCAGTTAAACTTTCGTAATTTTATTATAGAATTTCAATAGATTCGTAAGGAAAGATATTCCTTACCTAACACAGTGTTGGTGCTTGTTTACATTCCTAATCCTAGCTAGGTGTTTGACTAATCTTATCCTTATTATTCTCTGAGAGTATTTTGGAAAGGATGCATGTTAGTGAGGCTGCTGGTGTGTGTGTGTGTGTGTGTGTGTGTGTGTGTGTGTGTGTGTGTGTGTGTGTGTGAGAGAGAGAGCACGCCCACGAGGACGCAGCACTCGCGTCCTTATCAAGCCTCTCTCACCGCCCCATTACCTGTAATCGGAAACGACTACCGCTTGTGCTCTCTCTCTCTTTTTACCTCTCTCTCTTTTTAATCTTTTCTATCTCTTTTTAATTCTATTTCTTTAACCTACAATTAGTAAGTAGGAGACACGGTTTACGTTTGCGCTACCTCCATCTTCATTATTTGTAAACACTTCGAATTATTTTATATCGTTGTATGCTAGCAGAACATTGATGCATATTTTCTTATACCAGCGACCTTATGCAACAGACAAACTTTTAACCATAATACGAACACTGTTGTTATAGTTCCATTTAAGAACCTGGGGCCAGATTCACGAAGAAGTTACGCAAACACTTACGAACCTGTACATCTTTTCTCAATCTTCGGCGGCTTTGTTTACAATTATTAAACAGTTAATGAGCTCCGAAGCACCAACAGACTGTTTATAACAATAACAACAGTTGATTGGCAAGTTTTCATGCTTGTAAACTGTTTAATAAAGTAACCAAAGCCGTCAAAAATTGAGGAAAGATGTACACGTTCGTAAGTACTTGCGTAACTGCTTCATGAATCTGGCTCCCGCCTTTCCCGCTCAAGAAACAGATTACAGATTAGCCCCAGGCTTCGTCTTGAAGTAAAGTACAGCACCTTAAGCCAGATTGATGCTAAGCTCTGCCCCTTCACCGAACAATATGCACCAATGGTTTCCTACACCACTCTACTAGTGCTGCTAAAAGTGCAGTTGTAGTGGCAGTGAGTGATATGAGTGAGCTCATATGAATGATTATGAGTAGGGAGTCTATATATTTTTTATTTATATATACAAGAGTTCTTACATTCTTGTACAGACACTTGCACACACAGCGTGTAGGGCAAGTCCTTAATCCTAATTTTCCTCTGAATACGACCCGCCAAATCGTTGAACAATCAGAGGCTACAGTTAAGGATTGACGCCAAGTAAATCCGCCCCAGCTAGGATACGAACCCAGACCAAAGTACTTGCGAAGCGCCGAGCAAGAGTTTTAACACTACGCCACGGGGACTGCCCAAAGGCAGTCCAAACCTAACCAATGTCTAAATATACACAGTATGCTAATATATAACAAAATTAATTTACTTATGAGAAAATCTTTAATTTGAATGAACAGCATGTTAAAATTGATGAATGTGTTTTTGGGGTCGACCGCTGGATGGAATGAACTTGGTCTTAGGACGGGTTGTCTAATCACAACTCAGATGCTTCACTCACGTGCTTATAATTTAAATAATTCCTAACAGAACCTCACCAGTTAACCTCGCCTAATATACGCCTAACTATACACAGAACGCTAATATATAATATTAATTTATATATAAAAAACAATTTTATTACACAATACGTTCAAAGGGATAAATGCATCCTAGGGGTCGATCGCCGCTTTAACGAGCCTAACCTAAGGGCATATTGATACGTGGCTGCCAATTATAAAAATTAAATGCTGAGAATAAGAAGTACGTAAGTCAATATTTGACTTTAACTCTTGGGTGGAGAATGCATATGGATGGAGAGAAACCCATACTTGCAGCTGTAGATATTAGCTGCGTGGACATGACATTGTCGAGCAGTGTTATATCCATGACAGTGATGGACAGTGGACATAACAGTGAGACACAGTTTCGTGGCTTGAACCGGAATCTGAATATCTTTGGGAACTGTACCTAGACGAAACATTGCAATAATCTCGGTAATCTATACGTAAGTGAGGCAGTAAGTTTCATTCGCAGTTTTCTTAATGTTTAATCTGGTTACCAGTCCTCCGGAAATAACCGACCAATCACACCCTGAGGCTCCAGAAAGACGCGTTTTTTACTGGCTCACGCTGAGATTTCTCAGACACATGCAGTTAGTAGTAAACAACTAATTAAAACTCTTCTTGTCATAATTCGTCGTGCTGATCGACTGACTTTAAGAATCTGCGATATTCAAACCAAGATTTCAATTTTTTGTATGTCCGATTTGCGCCGATTTTCCCGCGCAGATACTCCATGCGTTAATTTTCCATAAGCCAATCGTAATCGACCTCTTGATTATATATGGTTATGATTGGACAGAGGAACAGTGTCCAGGCATTTTGACAAGTGGTCCCAAAGGCACCAGCAACGTGTTAGCAAGATGCGATAATTGGTGTGTTGCAGAGGTATTAAGGGGAGATGAGATCAAAGGACAGGTAGCCGGGCAATCTAAAGGCAGGGAAAAACAGACGTGTTGGACACGGGAGACATCTCCCATCACGCAGGGTGCAGTCGCACCTCCACAGATCTCCAGTATCATCTATTGATTCTGGTAATGGCTCAAAAGGGCCACCACTTACGGGCTATTCATGCCCGTGCCACCTTTTGGGTGGCTTAATCTTCATCAATCATCATCACGCGTTGGATGTTAGTGGGGGAAAATGGATAGAAAAGTTTGTTTGGGTTGGAGAGGAAGCAAGCGAATTGGGGTTGGCGGAGCTTTAGGGAAGGTGGGGGTGGTCTGAGGCCTGGAAAGTAGGGGACGTAGGGGAGAAGGTAGGTTGGTGGGGAAGAAGAAAGGTGAGGAAATGGGAAGATAGGCTAGCTATAGAGGCGAGAGAGAGAGAACACTTTTTTTTAACCATTCAGAAGCCTTGAAAAAACTTGAATTCAAGGTAAACCGGAGACCCACGAGCGTGAACAACCTCGTACATTTTTTTCCTGACACCAGTGAGAAAAATGTTGAGGCTATGACACCAAACCGAAAAGATGCCATGTCATAGGTTATTCTCAGGGACTAAACACTCTGCAGCGTCACTTTATTATCAAGGACTAAATGATGAACATTTCATATAAATTACAAGAGATCTGAAACAACGCGGTGTATTATCTTAACAACAGATCACACGCAATGCAGCCACAGAAGTAGCTACAGGGCCAGCCACAGAGGCAGCCACAGAAGTAGCTACAGGGCCAGCCACAGAGGCAGCCACAGAAGTAGCTACAGGGCCAGCCACAGAGGCAGCCACAGAAGTAGCTACAGGGCCAGCCACAGAGGCAGCCACAGAAGTAGCTACAGGGCCAGCCACAGAGGCAGCCACAGAAGTAGCCACAGGGCCAGCCACAGAGGCAGCCACAGAAGTAGCTACAGGGCCAGCCACAGAGGCAGCCACAGAAGTAGCCACAGGGCCAGCCACAGAGGCAGCCACAGAAGTAGCTACAGGGCCAGCCACAGAGGCAGCCACAGAAGTAGCTACAGGGCCAGCCACAGAAGTAGCTACAGGGCCAGCCACAGAAGTAGCTACAGGGCCAGCCACAGGGCCAGCCACAGAAGTAGCTACAGGGCCAGCCACAGAAGTAGCTACAGGGCCAGTCACAGAAGTAGCTACAGGGCCAGCCACAGAAGTAGCTACAGGGCCAGCCACAGAAGTAGCTACAGGGCCAGCCACAGAAGTAGCTACAGGGCCAGTCACAGAAGTAGCTACAGGGCCAGTCACAGAAGTAGCTACAGGGCCAGTCACAGAAGTAGCTACAGGGCCAGCCACAGAGGCAGCCACAGAAGTAGCTACAGGGCCAGCCACAGAGGCAGCCACAGAAGTAGCTACAGGGCCAGCCACAGAGGCAGCCACAGAAGTAGCTACAGGGCCAGCCACATAGGCAGCCACAGAAGTAGCTACAGGGCCAGCCACAGAGGCAGCCACAGAAGTAGCTACAGGGCCAGCCACATAGGCAGCCACAGAAGTAGCTACAGGGCCAGCCACATAGGCAGCCACAGAAGTAGCTACAGGGCCAGCCACAGAAGTAGCTACAGGGCCAGCCACAGAGGCAGCCACAGAAGTAGCTACAGGGCCAGCCACATAGGCAGCCACAGAAGTAGCTACAGGGCCAGCCACAGAAGTAGCTGCAGGGCCAGCCACAGAGGCAGCCACATAAGACACCGCAGCAGACATCATGGCAGTCATCAAGGTAGACACCATGACAGACACCGTGGCACTGTTTTGACTGTTCTATAAATAAATCCTTCATTACACAGGGGGTGGCAAGACTTTGTATTCACCCTCTTATAGTATTTCACTCACGCGTACTGTGTGAGTACGTAAAGTAAATATCAAATACATATTAAATATAGAAGTAAAGAATACCAGCTAAAGAATTATACGAATTACTGACCTTGCCCAGGACGGAACTCCACAATAGTTGCCTAACTCTCGGGTGAACAGAGATTCACTGCTAGGTGAACAGGGCCATTAGAAGAAAGAAAACTTGCCCAATCTTTTGTCTCGCATAGAAGTCGAACCCAAGATCCTTGGTTGTGTGACGAGAAGGAAGCCTACTACACTCCCGTTACCGTAGAGGAGTGTCACGTGACTATAGTCACAGAAATTGGAGTGCTGTACTGCGTCACTATAAGGTCAGTGACAGTAATGTGACAGGCAGTGACAGTTAATTCAGGAGAGGTGCCAGTGAATGGGTCGGAAAGTTCGGCCAACAGTGGCAATGGCTCGACTTGGACATATAATCGCATCGAGTTCAAATATAATGTTTGAAACAGGGCTTTTAAATAAACATATTACTAACCAACGTTTTTATTTGTATATATATTGGATTGACCGCACGATTACGAAAAGATCATATTGTTCCAAGTTTTGTGTTAGGTTCGTATTATTTGTGTGTTTGTTAGAATTTAACTCATCTCACATTAAAATTAAAATAAAGTATAAAAACAAATTCATGTAACTATTATTGTTCCAGTAACATATAATATCTTAGATAAGAAAGTTTTCTGCGTTGCAGGACAAATTTGGTCTCTGTTGAGAGATTTCCTGGTAGGCTCGTGTAGCTTCGAGGGTTTGTTTACATCCAACTCATCCTAGGTGGGGGCCGCTGACAGCTATTTTATAGAGAAACAAAAAACGGATCACCAACGTGTTTTTAAAAGTAATGTGAGACAAGGTTGTGTACAAGGAGCAGTGGGAGGTGTAGGGGTTTGTTAAGGACTGTTTTCGCAAATCAATTCTGAGTGTATATATATTTTTTATTTGAGGCTGTGAGTGGTGAGCTGGCAGGGTCATCAGAGTTGTCGGCTTGGTGTGGGCTGGGGTGACTTCGTCGCTCACGTGATGTCATTATCTTGTTCCCTTGAAGACCGTTTTTAACAATAATTTGTTCTGTGAATTTGAAAGGGTTGTTGTTTTCCCCACTTCAACAATTTCTTTGGTAACTGTGTGAGGGGTGTGTGTTTTACAAGCCAGTATTTTTTTGTTGTAGTTGCTTTAACTTGTAAATTCATTGTGGCTTGGTGCTTTTTTCTGATAATTATCTTGCCTTACCTTCTGATAATTACATTTTTAACCTACCTCGGCTCCTATAATGTCCTCAAATCCCTTTGAAATGTTATATTGTAGTCATACTGGCTTTGTGCCTGATAATTACCTTGCCTTGCTTTTCTACATTGTTCCATTACATATCATTATGACACTCATAATTAAGTACCGTAGTGGGTCATTCCACTGACTTTTGTCATGGTTGTTTTATATAGCATTTATAATAATAATATAATAATTTATTTAGGAACAGTACATGCATAGTTGCAGCATTACAGTACAAACATTGTTAGATTTAAAGATAGAGGTAGTGCATACAATACCTAAAGCCACTAGTACGCATAGCGTTTCGGGCAAATTATGGAGTTTTCAGGATTGGCAGTGGTTAGACACTTGCCCCTGTTTTGTATTATGGAAAATAGTCTTCATATTAAATAAGTAGTTTACACTGTGTGGGGTAGAAGAATAGAACAATATAGAATACCTTTGTTACATTGTAACGAAGTATGATTCAACAGGGTATTTTCATCACTTCTGTTCTAATTGACCAGAATACAAGAAACCCACTTATTGGCAGTGCTGGAAAAAATGGAAGTGGTCAGTCACTGTTGTATAATGTCTGCCTCACTTGAAAGAATGGTTGTCATTGTATAAACACTGTATAACCTAATGCAAGTAATTTGATATTGTTAAATTTTAATATTATGGTATCAATCATTCAATTTATAGCTTCCTGTAAATAATAGCAAATATATGATATTCCTGAATTTTTTCACATGTGCAGAAAGATATACGAGGTGTTACGAGCTGCTCCATTGTCTCGTACAGGGACACTAGCTGGTCGCTAGCATTATGAGTGGGGCTGGCAGCAGTGACAGCGGGCTTGACCTGTCTGGAAAACTCATCATAAAGGTCAGATAATTTTTTTCTCTCTCTTTCAGGCATTTTGAAATGATGGGACAAAAAATTAAGCATTTTAAGTCTAACATTTTTGTATCGCTTCCATCCTTGAAAAGATACAGAAACACACTTTGGACTAATCTTACTTAGCTTTGCAGTTTGACTGCTGGATGTAATAGGAGTCATTTGTGGGTCTGGGTCCCCCCCCCTTCCACCCCATGTCCCCCCATAAAGAAGGGTGGTCCCCATGCTGACCTTCCCCTATCCCCACTATGGTCTATGTAGTTAAAATGATCAGCCCAGTTAGATTAATTTGTTCATCGACATGCAAAATACATGTTCTGATGAGATGTACATTCTTTTGGGGGCAGGGGGCCTCCATCACACATCTGGTAAATTTCTACACCTTTAGAGTCAACTCGGGCATCACCAGGTACATGCTCAAACATGTATGCAAGTATGTACAGTGTACATGTAGAGATGGACATTTACATGCATACAGTACATGCATTCACATATACTGCGGTACTGTGTGCATACATATTTATATTTTTGCCTTTGCATTACATTGTTTAATAATAGTATTTTTGAAATTAATGTTTTAACAAACCTTGATGGCAAAGAGTGTATGGCCTGTAGTGATTGATATACAGTACAGTATAGTATGATATTAACAATCTGGATAATTTTTGTTAAGCCTTGTTTGATTTTTTTAATTTGCATTTGGTCAAATTTTTAAATTTTAGAAAATTATAAAATATTGTTGCAAACAGATTATATATTAAGCTTTATTTTGTAATACTGTGTAGTGAATTTTTAACTTTGTTATCTTTGTTTACCACAGAAACCTACAGTATTGTTAGTTGCTTGATCAACCTCTTAAAAATTTGAACCTTGGAGAATTTTTTTTTCTTTGCCAACAGGAATTATAGTTTGGCCAAATTACAGTGCCAGTATTTTTGAGACTTTCCCTTGGCTTCATTATTTTTAATTGTTTGCACAAAGGTAAACCCTCGTAACCAAGAGCAGAGCCAGTTTTGTCAGCTTCGTCTTCCAGATAATTTAGTTTCACTCGATGCAAGCATTATTTTTTACAATAATTTCTTTGCTGAACAATTTTGAGGTGCAACACAAGTTTTAAGAAAACAGTATAGTACTGTAATATCTAAAGCGTTAGAAGGTTAATGATGTGTTCGGGCATTTGGCTGAACTGGGTAGATTCTGGAGAGGCGAGGCAACAAAACCCAAAACAACATTAATGAAGAAAGTCCAATGTGCATTGGTCTAGTCAATTGCACAAGTATGAAGCCTTGCTCAAATTTTTTACATCTTTAAAATAAAAATGTGTTCAAATTCATGTTGGTTGAACTTTCATAAATCGAGGCCTTACTGTAATTGAATCAAGCCAATAATTTATATGTGCAAGTCTTTTGGGAAAATAAATAACTATTGCTTTTTCAGGCTCAACTTGGGGAGGACATCAGGAGAATTCCCATTCACAATGAAGACATGACCTATGATGAGTTGATCCTCATGATGCAAAGGGTGTTTCGCGGTTCATTATCTACAGACGATGATATTACCTTGAAGTATAAAGTATGTTGTCTAGTTTACATCGTGCAGTTAGCATTGCAAAATAATTAAGAGTTTTTCCAAATGGCAGTTGAATATAAGGAATATTGTACATGGAAATTTTGATTTAACAATTCCATATTACCTTGGATAAACAGAATTTCATGTTACTGTATTTCAATTCTGATATTGACATCAGTTCCTCAATATTGAATAAAGTTTGCACTTTTTCTTGTAAAATTTAAGGGGGAACTTTAATAAACATTGTTTTCTGAAGAAAAATAAAAGCTAGCCTCATTCGTAATAACTGGCTTGGATATTTTTCATTTCTATTACAGTATTCGGGTAAAATATTTATTTAATAGTGCTTTAAGTATTTCACAATGGGTGTATGCCATCTCCTCCTTTATATGACTTATTTTATGATAAATCTCTTGGGTTATTTTTACTTGGAATAAGACCATATTAACACTTATGGATTAGAGGAATGCTGTTCTTTATTAAAATTACATGCATTGTGAAAGACTGAGGTAGTAGTGTTGGCTTTATTTATGGTCTATATACAGGATGAAGATGGAGATTTGGTGACCATTTTTGACAGCTCGGACCTGGCCTTTGCTATTCAGTGCAGCCGTATTCTGAAGCTGACTATACTCCTGAATGGCCAGCGGGGCATGGCACAGGGGTCGCGTGTGTCTGTAAGTTAACTTTCAGTTGAAGAACTAAAATGGAACTTTATAATAGTTTAAATATCTGAATGTTAGTTTTAAAGTAATGCATAAGAAAGGTACATTGTGTATTTGTGAATCAGGTTTAGGCTTGGTGTTTGTTTTCAGAATTGATCTTATTTACGGTACTTTAATGAGTATTGGTTGAAATATGTTCATTCGAGAGGCAATGGTATTGGAGATATGGATACAGTAAATACAGATTTCAAATTGGCTGATTGTGAAAACATCTAAATTAGATGTGCCAATAGACCCAGCAGATATTCTCATGCTGGCTAAATGGAATAAATTGAATAAATGAATTTATAGTGCTTAAGATGAATTTACAATAATTGTTTTTTAATATAGGATGGAAGCTAATTATGTAAGGAATAAAGTCAAGGATTATGTATTTTAATTGTACTATATATTTTTTCCTTCCTAGAGTTAAATGTGTAGACTGAGGGACTTTTTATTTTTGTTTATTTTTTGTTTTTATGTACAACTAGGTTGTACATAAAAACCTAGTACAACTTGTACATAAAAACTCTTGTACAACTAGGTTGTACAAGAGATAATGGGAATTTTTATTTTTTTATATTTTTTTTATTCAGACCATAACTGTGAGACGAGAACTACGTGCCATTCGTGACAGAGTAACTGCTCTTCTGGATGCCTTGGATGTTACAACTGAAGTGACTCCCAGAACTATCTTTGAAGCCGACACAGGTTAGTCTCTTTACAAGGCTTGTTGAATTCGGACGATAACACTTAATATTTATCATAAAGACTGCAGTAAAGGTCCCCATGAAACTTCCATGAAATATGATAGTGGTGTAGGAAATGAGTAGCGAATGTTGTGTGCGAGTAAGGCAAGATTTATCTTAATCGGCACAATGGAAATAAGCTATGGACATTTCTGTGCCTCTAGTGTAATGTCTTTTCAAAAGTTGCAAAAAGTATGAGCTAAGAAAGAATAAAAAAGCCAGTAAAGGTAAGTAGAGAATTATCTTAATGTAAAATAGAATGCAGGTTAAAATGTCCATTTTCAAATTATAATGGATGTAAATAAAAAATTTCCATATTGCCAGCATTTGTACAAATAAATTACTTAAACTGGGGGCCCCACCAGAAAAGGGCATTTCATTACATTCAACACAAATTCTAGTCTACAGTCTGAGTAGGGTGGTGTTTTTATGATCTTGCACCAAGAGGAGAAGAGTTGACAGAGAAACAATACAAAACGACGACATTGCAGGTGTGAGCAGCAGCGTAACTGCTGCAGCATCCCCAGCACCAGCAGCAGCCATGCAGCTGAACATTTCATCAAAGGAATTTGATCCATTGCAGCAAACTGAACAACAGGTAAAGGGGTTTTGTTCAATATAATTTTTTTTTATTTATCTTGTCTTTTATTCCCTTGCTCTTGCTTCTATTCTTGTTCTTTGGGTGGAGTGGGGGATTGGCATCTTGTATATTCTGTGAATGATGGTTCCCTAGTTTAATAACTTTATAAGGGACAAGTTTCTCAAATAAAGGTAAAAGTACATGTTAAGTAAGCATTTAAGTACACTCTAACGTCATTTACTAGCTATTCATATACACGTACCATTTTTGCGGGTTACCTAATTTACAAAAGTTGGTTCCATTTCAGTTTACCAACAGAATGCTGGGAAATATATGAAGGCGCCAACCATGTTGTAAATTAACCAGCTCATTTCAATTGCAGCCAGCACTTTTTTTTAAAAAAGTACATTTTTTTTCCCTAACCAATACAAATTCTAGCTATCACTATGTAAATAAAGGGGGAAGAAATTCCATGTTAATTGAAGCATCCATGAATGCCATTGGAAAAAAGTTGTGTATAATAAATATTGTAATAACAATCTACAAGTGGCAGATTGCATCACACTAGCCTCAAAATAGCTTCCACCAGCCTCGTCTTCAAATACCTCTTCTTTCTCTATCCGCCTACTTTGTGAGGGTTTTTATACATAATACATCCATAAAATTTTATCCTAAACAAAATGAACAATCATAAATACTGCACTGCACTGTATATATTGTTTGTTAATGATGAGAGCCATGAATAACATCAAATTTAAATTGTACAAGTTTGTGGAGAGGGTGGTGCTAGAGGTTAGATATAGATTACCTTTCATCACCAGATCTCTGATTAAGGCAAGTTGGGAGAGGTAGAATGTGTCTTAATGTGAGGGTAAAAAAAATATATGTGTGACTACAGATTGTATGGTACCAAGCAATAAGAGACTTAAAGTAGTGGTGGGCTTGGCAGTGGCAGTCCCACCACCACTAACATGTTGATCAGTCAGGTTTAGAAATTAATACTACTATGTAAGCTGAACCTGTATAAGCTATCTTGTCTTAAACATGATGAAATGTTGGAAAAATGGAATGCTTGCATATGATTCATACATAGCATATACAGTACTTATTTGTTTAATTCAATTTCTTCAGATAGGCATTGTGGGAGAGGCAGGCAGTGCTATTGGGTAGCTGTTGTTTTTCTAATCTCCTTTCATTACTTAAACATGAAATATGTGAGAAATTTAGTAATGGGAATTTGGAATTTCATTTGAAAGTTATCCTATACTGTATTGATTTGTCATTATGTAAGAAAGTATTAATTAGCACTTAAACTTACAGCACCAACAGGTCTCTTCTGCCAGTCAGCCACATCCACCAGTTAGCACCCCAACTCATACCACCTCTGCATCCATCCAAAGTGACGGTCAGTGTCATAAGGGGGTAGTTTTCTACAATATTTTATTCTTTATTAAAGAAAACTGTAAAATATGGTTGTTACATCAGACAAAAGTTATCCAAAGGCATTAAGCTGTCATGCTATGATTGACGTGCTTATTTTGTCCTATCATTTTCTTGTATTTCGGGTATATCTCGAAGACTTTCCTTTTGACATAAAGCTCGCATTAGTGATGTACTGTACTATGGTTAAAGAATAATATCTATTGAAAGAAGCCAGTATTGCCTGCTGGAGGCCAGTTTTAAAATGGTTAAATTTATAGTTGGGGAGGGGGAGATTAGAGAAGTTTCACGGCAATAAAAACCAGGGAATATTAGACATTTAGGTACTGCCGTTAGGCAGGAGTCCTAGGTAATGGCCAGATAGACAACTAGGAATCCTTTCAGCATTGATTTGTTATTCCCCAGTGTCTTCCTTGTACCTGTATGACCTGATAGCTGTTTCAAAGTACACATTTCACCAGTTCAAAATGTCAACCTGCTCCAATAGTCAATAGTCTTGTCCATAGAAATGGTGACACTTGATTAAAGGAGCAACAGAGTATCTTGTTCGGAAATTTTTTTTTTTCATTTACACTCAAAGCCTCATTTTTGCGTATTCTATTTAAAATGAAGTTTTGCAAGGTGGACAAAGTTCTTTTCATATCCTTCATGCACAAACTGCCCATTTGGTTTTCTTTTTAGTTTCGGAAATTGTTGAAGGCCCAAGCGTATACCAAGACATCATATCATCTTTTGGGTTAAGTGAAGGTACAGTAATTGGTTATAGAACAATAAGCATGTTATCAACCCTTAGTACCTGCTCATCTTAATTCTGTGAACATACTGTACTGTATTCACAGGAAATCTTATTAAACTAACCTACTAGCAAAAGGAAATATGCTTTGACTTTCATCAAAAACTGAAGCACGGCAATGTTTTTTAAACTATAGAATAATCAGGTTTAATACATAGGTAGTATACTGTACTGGTGAGGGCACCCCTTGCAAATTATGCTTGGTGCTTGTATTTTTGTTTTAGTTTTTTGTGGCCCAGGGAAAAGACAGGGTGGAAGTGGCTTGTAAAGAGCGAGTGAATGTGTTTGTATGAAAATTCACGAGCTGTGTACACCTGATTTTTATGAAGTGGTGGGGTACTGCTGCTGCGAATGACTGTAGTACAGGTTTTTTTAATATTTACCTGTACATTTTGCAAATGACACAATGAATGGATAAAAGATGATTATCTTTGTAAGATCTTAATAAAATTCTATTTTTTTTCTCTCGGGTTGATGCCTTCCTCCTTGTAAATGGAGAAATGGGACCGGGATATATGTGACAAATAATTTCTTAAATAAGACTCGTGGCTAGTCATGTGAAATAGTAGAAATAATAAGATGGTTCGCTTGCTATTAACTTGTATGTTTCTCGTTTCTTAATAATTGTTAGTTTTACTTTTATTTCAAAGGGTCTAACTTGCCAGAAACTGACCTCAGACCTTGTCAGCTTGGGCTGCATGCTAAATTCATATTTAGTCAATATTTTGCTATCTAGTGGGCAATACGTAATTCCCATTGTGTGCTGCTTGAATGTCTTCTGTTAAATACTGTACTACCAGTACATTATTTACTGTAGACCTGATAACTATGCATGATTAAGCAGCTTAACATGGCTAGCTTTGCACAAGGCTTAAATTACATTATTCATTTAAAAATTATGGTTATGTTGGAAAATCTTTTATTGATACAGTATCTGGATTTGATGTTACATAACAAATCACATTTTTTTTCTACTATAGATCTTTAAAGATGGGAATGTCAAGATGCTAATTATGGAAACTATATACTGTATTAAATGCAGTACAATCAACCATATACTGTCCAAACACTTAAAGACCATAACTATCTACAGATCTGTGATTTAAATACAGTAGCCACTTTCCCAAGTACGGTAAACTTCAGCGTTGATGCAGTAATGTATGTCTTGCGAAGTCATTGAAAAAGATTAAATAGTGTTTTGTTAAAGAAAAGCAAACGTAGCCGCATATTAGGACCTCAACATTTTCCTTATAAAAATTTGAGTTGCATTAATGCATGGCTTCCCAATTTAAGATTTTTTTTTTTTTTTTAAGGTAAGGTATAACACCGCTGCACAAATGATTCTAGTGTACAAAATATGTCAAGGTATTGTTTTGAAGTTGGGTCATGGCAATGACACAAATGATGATGATAACCATCTTGTCTAGGGAGTTTGGAGAGGGGTATTGGTTGGTAACAAAATTATATAAAGCTTAAAAATTTTGTTAACACTGATATGCTTAAGTTTAAAATGCTCTGATAAAAGGGCACTAGTTCACAACATTAATATTTAATAGGAATATGTGAAAGCCACTGAGCGTACAGTACTGTAGTTAGAGTAAAACTCTAGGATTTGTTTTCATTTTGAGTTTGATATGGTTTCACTCGTTCCCTTAATCTTACAGCTCTGCATAAAAATATGACTAAAGGGGCTGGATTGTTTTGTTGGGCATCTTTATAGCTTTCATTTCATGAATTTGCTCTGGAATTTTCAGTAGCTGCATGATCTGGCAAGTGCCTTCATGTATTGACTTGAAACTACTGTATCAAAACTAGGGTATAGCAATATGTACAAGGAAGACTAATATTTTTTGGGTAATGTTGCCCTCTGATGGTAGATGTCAGAATGGCTTTCAATGTCATTTAAGTTGGGGATTGCAGAACCCTGTGCAGTATCTTTGGTATAAGCAGAGGTGCTTCAAAATTTCAGTAAAATGATCTTGTGCCAAGGCTTTGGCAGGCTTTTACAAACCTCCTGGATGCTTCAAGAAGTTTGCTGTTGTGGATATATATATTGCAAGAATGGTTTAAGATATTTTGCTTAAATTTGACATTTGTCTTAAAACTACAGTAAATCATAGTATGTACCTTTCATCACTGCAATCAATTTTAAAATTAAGTTGCAAATTTGTAAAAATTCCAGGGGTTGAAAGTTGTGGAATCTTCGAACCCAATTTGCATTATTCCTTTAAATTTGTTATGGGATGCTTAGTGTTATAGTTAAATCAATTAATCCTCAGTCTTCTGTTACGACTGACTTCAGTGTTTAAATATTGCAAGTAGATAACCGACATCCCTTCTAACCCTTAGCCCCCCTTCCCCTCCCAGTAGGCTGCCTTCCTGTAATACTCTCCTATCCTATCTTCTCCATCCACCGCTGTTTCTATCGCCTTTTCCTCGACAGAGTCTTTTGTCTGTAACCGTAAACATAAGCAAGTTAGGCAAGATTTGTTCCTGACAAAATTGTATTATATCTTGCTCAGTTGTATGCAGAGATATGAACAATTTAATTTCTTGGAAATATCTCTCTTTAAGAGCTTGCAGATGTGCAAAATTGGTTTCTTTGTTTTCTTCTGTCCTGTCTCTCAAAGATTAGGCTGATATTCACATATTTCCAGTCTCTATGACTTAGGGGTTTTCTGAATAAGTTTCTATTGCATTATAGATCAACAGCTGACTCCGTTATTATTTTAGGCTGAATTCCTTCCAATTCTGGAGCTTTAGAATTCTTTAAATTGCCAATATTCTTTATTATTTTGCAGGTGTTAAATATATTGCAACTCATTCTTCTCTCCTGCTTGGAAATTTTTCTTAGGCATTAGTATGTTATGCAGCACTTTTAATATGAATATTGACTATTATTAACTGACCAAATCTCTAGAATCATTGTCATCGGTTATAATTTTCTCATATTGAGGGTTCTGTCTCGAATGATCATTTGTTACAGTACTTATTGTGTGTGAAAAAGGACTTTGTTGATATTGCAAGTGTTTGTATCTTTTTGGCTGATCTGATTTCCTGGATAGTTGTATTCAATACTGGTTTTTTTTTTTTTTTTTATATAATGTGTGATTCTTGGTGGGTCAGCAATTCTTCCAGTCTAATGAATTTATATCATAAAACATTTTCGACAAAATTCATAAGTTTGGTTGCTACTGTTCCTTTTGTGGTGCCCATTTTCTTTAAAAGTTTACACATGATCTTTGTGAAGTTAGCTCACTGAACTTTTTACTCAACATCATTCTGTCCTTCTCCCAAGATGTGCCATCCCGAGGTTAACTCGTTTAACTGGCTACAATCCAAGTCTATCTAGTTCTATTTTCAATTTAAACTTGTTTTCACATTATAATGAAACTAAAAGGTTCCAGAAGGGTTCAACCTTGGTCATGAAACATGTTGTATGTAGTGATAAAGGGCAGTCAGGCTCCTCACAGCTGTCAACACCCACTCGGATGGTTACTTCCAGAAATACTGTAGTAAGCAAACTCATCCTAACTATTTCATTATGAAGAAATGCCATTGATAAAGGAAATAATTGAGAAAAAGTAATTCCAAAGGGAGAAGGTTGGAAATCAGAGCAGTTTCATTAGCATACTGTAAGACGTCAAGATTCTTTTGCCAAGTAATTTTGTCAATTAAACAAAGGCTTCTCTTTTACACTTCCATAATAACCTTCAGGTGAGGTATCTGTGCACCAAAGTACCAAGCAGGGAGAGGGTAGTACTAATGCATCCGGCAGCTCGACTCCAGCCCCATACCAGCATGTTCAGCAGTCGCAGCAGCAGCAGCAGCAGCAGCAGCAGCCACAGCAGCAGCAACAGCAGCCGCCGCAGCCACCACAGCAACAGCAGCAGCCACCACAACCCCAAGCACAGCCTCCCCAACAGCAGTCGTCCCAGCCAACCCAACAACATCCTAGCTACCCTAACTACACTGCTGGTGAGATGTCTGTATAGTACACTACAGTATTCTTTTAAAAATGTTACAACACCTCTCAAATCCAAATTTTCTAAGAAATTATTATTAGTATGGTAAGTTATTGTTTTTCTCAGTATTAAATGCTTAGCATGTAATTTTTTTTTTTTTTTTACTGCTGCATTCTTCTATTGTGAAGACAGAAAAGACATTAGTTAGATGTAATATACAGTACCTCCAAATTTTGTAGTTTGATCATAATGTTGCTAGGAATAAATTAAAACTAACTATTAAAACTATTAAAATTTAATCTAGCACAGAGATATCCCCCATTGGCAATTTGTAAGATGAAGTATGATAAATAGTATATACAGAGTTCTGTACTGAATGGCCACTGCTCATTACCACCACCAGGAGTCAGCACCTAAACTATAACATAGTATCTAGGTCCAATCTAGTTATTTACTGTGTGCATTTGTGGCAGGCTAGGAACCAGATTCTGTCAAGATGCTTGTTACATCTTTGCAACTCTGTACAGTGGGCTTGTTCATTCATGTGTCGTTTAAACACATATTTTGTTTCGTGGACTAATCTATTTTTTCCAAATTTGGCTGTTGGTGGCACTAGGGGTGGCACTATTAGAGTTTTTCCACTAAATAGTTTTGTGGTTCCTTAAGTTGTGCTCGCTGTACCTTGCCGTTACCCTCTGATCATTTTAGTGATCCTCTTACACTTTAACACCATGGTCTCCTGCACTAAAGTGCATCACTTTCAGATGATTTGCAGGTTGGTAAAGTTCAGTCACCCACAGGTTAATTCTTTGGCTCTTACATTCTGGGAGTTCACAGAAAAGAACATGTTTAATGTGGTGGTGTCCTACTGACATCTCTAGGTTTCTGCTGGAGATCGAGGGTTTTGAAGGTCAAACTTTCACCGCATGTTATGTGCAACGGTTTTTTGCTAGAGTTGTCATTGTAATCATTCACTTTTAGCAAGGGTTTGTGTGGCCTTACCTCTGTGGGAGCATATTGTACTTTTTCAAGCTCAGGTGAGCATATTTTACTTTTTTTTTTTTTAACCTTCATTTTATTTTCAGGCACCTTAGTGCCTGCCCATGGAATTAGCTCAGAAAAAAGCTTCAAAGTTTCTGTGAAAGCTCATTTCTAGGCATGGCCCTCGGTCACTCTCGATCTATCCCTTCATTGCATTTTCTGCTTGCCTGTGTTAAATATTCTTGTCAGTATGTTTGTTACTGGACTGAACTAAGGTACTGTGATCTAGTGTAGATGTAACCACCCGATTGTGATCAGAAGTGACCAAGGGAGTTGATTAGTACAAGAAGTTACTAGTGCTTCTCAATAGGTACGTTTGATCTTTAGGAGCTTTCGAGTTACTGTACGCATTCCCCACGGAGGTAATGCAGCTTACCAATGCTCCCTAGCACCTGTATGGGCAAGCAGGAGCTTGTTTAAGCCAATCCTAAGGCATTGTTGAATGTTCTGTTCATCAGTGTAAATTCTGTCCTTTCTAGCCAAGTGTGTCTTGTCTTGATTTACATTAGGGAAAAACCAAGGATCATACATGGAATAGGTACTAGAATATTATTTTTGCATTAATATCATTTGGCCAAATTTTGGTATTTATTGGTCAGTTATCAAGTTTACCTAAAAACAAATTCGGTTGAATCCAATTATGGAAATATTTTCCATGCAGAAAATAGTTGTTAAATCGTGTTATTATGCATGAGGCAGAGGCTTGTGCTGGACTGGATTTTATTATTACAGATCATCCAAAATACTAACAAAAAAAATTATTGCATGTTCAATATTTCTCAGATGAGAGTTTTTAATGTAGCCTTATTTTTTTTAGTTATATTATTTTGTGAATTTTCTTCAGCTGCAGTTTCTGCTACTCATCCTGGACCATATCAGCAGTACCGAGGTAATTCCTTGTGCATCTAGGGCCAAGATAAAGATCCTTCTTTGTGACTGATAGGGGAAAAAGTTCCCGTGAAATTTTAAGCATGCCCTGCTTTTGCTATCTTTACTTTAGATATAATTATATATAACTGTTGGTTTTCTAGCATTGTGATTTCTGGCACAGTAATATAATTACAGTACAGTATGTATAGTATTAATGGGAAAAAGGGAAGAGTTAGTGGCTTGATCAGAACTCTAATATACAGCTATTTTTTGTGTAGTAATCTTTACTATATAAATAACAATTCTTCTTTTCAAAATATTATTCCTTTATATTCAGTTTATCTCGGATTTGTGTGGATATCACCACTTCCTATGTATTAACAAACTAATTGCATTTCGATTGTTTTGATTTATTAAAACATTCATTTTTACCCTGCTGGAGTGAGAGTTGGTGCTTAATTTTAACTGTGTATCTCAACGCACAGCTGTTCATTATAATGCATACAAACAATGGATTATGCAGCATGTATCTTAAACCTATACATTCTCTTGCCCAGACCTTGAAAAGATATAGTAATTTTAAAAGGGAATATGGAGGTTGTAGAAAACTTTGTGTGTAGATGCTGTGTCCATGATACTGTATATAAGAACTTCTACAGATTTTTACTAGTACTTTCTGGCACTTGTCCTCATTAACAGAAGTGAGGGTTTAGCAGTGAGAGAAAATAACAAGGTGTATTAATAATAATAATTAATAATAATAATAAAAGCTATGAAATTTCAAAATTTATTCAGACTCAGAACTGTAATAGATATTGTAATTATTAAAAAGTGAGGGAACAGAATAACATCCTTTTTCCTTTCAGGTCAGCATTATGTTGGTGGTGGATCAGACACGAGTGGGGGTCCTCCTCGGAGTACTATGGTCCCCACCAGTATGCCTGGGGTACCTACTACTGTGCCCAGTATACCACAGTCTCAGCCATCACAGTACTATCCAGGCTTCCAGTACCAAGGGTAAATGAAGGATTTCCTTTATTCACTTGCAGTATATTTTAATTTGATACTCGTATATTTGCATAAAGAACATTTTTTTTTTTTAATTTGAAAGGGACATTAACACTTTCACAGCCCAATGACTGTTTTGATGTCATAAAACCAAAATATGGAATAGGCCCTATGATGCAAACGGCATCAAATACTGTATGTATGGACAGCATGTTCAATATAAAATTTGTAAAACTTCCATTTATTGTCTGAATACTGTGGGACGTTTTAAAATGCACGCCAACATCTTCCCATGTTCAATATATCCCACGTGGCATTCTCACCCCGTGGTTCGGAATGAATAATGACTAGAAACGACGAAGAAAAGCAGGTGTTGTTCACATGACGATGAACTTTATCTTATACTATTGGTAACGTTGTTCTAATATTTGTTCTTATATGCAAATATTCCTTTAGGGCATTCTATTGCAAACAATTTGATACCAAATTGAACGACGTAGCACAGAAAATTAATGTCACAAAGCGGAAAAGAGTATAATCATACTTGTGTGGTGGCGAGTTCACACTCATCGCTCCGCCAACCTTGAGGTGGTACGGGGGTTGTGCACTGGGCATGCAATAGTGTTAAAGAAATTTTAGACCACTGTTAATCTTGATTGAATGGAATTACTACACATTAGAATAATTTATGCTGATTTGCAATCATTTTTAATGTAGTGTTCAAATGTAAAGGCATTGATGTAAAGTTTCAAAGTACAGTATGTACATGACTAAAGGTATTAGGTATGCGTACCAATGCTGTATAAATAATATTACTATGTCACACTTAAAAGAGTTCTCTATATTGGCTGTTTCTTTGTCTCACGCTCATGAAGAAGTGTGTAACTCGATGCTGAGCGGCTGAACTGGTTCCAGCACCAGAGCTCTAAAATTACAGTGTAATGTAACTTAACCAAAGGCTGGCTGTTCATTTTTTTAATGTAACTTAACCAAAGGCTGGCTGTTCATTTTTTGTTTTTCTTTGTTTTGCTACATAAATTCATAATGTTTAAATGTGCAGCTTTTACTTTCTTGGTTTGAAACATTTTATTCCTTGAAATATTATAGCTTTAAAATGGGCATAAATCTTTTTAAAATAAGATTGGAGCTTGGTTAGATTATTCGGGATTAACTTCTTTGACCTTATGCTGTTGAGATTTGGAGAGCATTGCATTTGTATTTCAGGTATAGTGTACCGAGCGGCCAGCCCGGTGGGTTCAGTCAGCAGTACCCATCAGCTCAGCAGTTCCCAGCTAGTTACCCCACCCAGTCTGTCCCTCATAGTTCTGGTGCCACTCCAACCGTACCTTCCCAACCTACACAGCCAGGCCCTCCTTCCGGACCACGACCTCCAGTCAGGTTTGAATGTTTCCGTGCTTTGGAGTTGTCAGATTGATTTTGATTGTTGCCGCCGAAGGCGGCTAGTTTATTGTGCACCCCATACTCATCCTGTGAGCGGTAGTGCAGAAGCATTACAGAGGGCACAAAAGGTCTTTATCAGACCTCATCTTAGATTATTACATAAACAATTTCATCTATCCTTCACACCTTGTAGTTACAATGTCAGCTAGTTACAGAGAAAGTGCTATTTCAAGAGCTATATATTTACAATAAGTCATCATACATTAATGGTAGGTCTTATCGCTAATACATAATAGTTTGACCAATGAGGATATTACAGTCATAGGGGAGCTTCTGTTTATTATTAGTCCTCACAATACACTACTTGTTTCTGAATCTCATATGTCGTTCATCTACTGGAAGCGAAATGTGGATACAGTGCAAGGATTTCAGGTAATTTATCCATGGTAATAAGATAGGTTGTCAATATCTCCTTTTCCTAGCTTTTAATTATTCCTATGTATACTCTCAAAGCTGGAGCTTAAATTTACCTGTCGGTTAAAATCAAAATACAAAATCCCGAGAGTTTAACCCTTGGACAGTGGTTATGAGAATATTGCCTATGTGCAAAAAAAAAAAAAATATTAATTTGTATGCAAAATGTAAGAAATATAAATAATTGAAAACAATATTTATAATTTCACTGGGTGGAGGCGCTCGGGAAAGTTGTGTGGTAGACCTGTCTGACGCTTGTCGACACCTGGTGCTCGGCTTTGTTGACACTTCCTGTTTTATCCTCGTATTTTTCACTGATTGTTTTCACTTGTTTCTCTTTATTTAAAAGGGTATGTGTTGAATAACTTGTTAAATCACATAATTCACATAACATAATTGTTTCAATAATACATTTCAAATGATGATTTGTTTACCTGGTTTACCAGTACAGCTGTACTCCATTACAACCATAAGAGAGTGGTGAACAGGATATTAACACAATATTCAATGGTGTCTCTAGGTGTTGACATATGGTCTCATTGGCAGCATATAGCCGAGTGTAGATTGAAAGAAAGGTGCAAGCCACCAATATGGCATGCACTCAAGCGCACACCCATGCACTCTCGCACTCTCCCGCACTCTCTCACACTCTCAAATTTCGCTTAAATTGCAAATTCAAGCCCAGCTTGGTAGTTGGTTAAGGCAGGCATCTGGGACTTGCAAGAACACTTGGTTTAGTCATGCCATTGCTGCAAACTGTTTTTCATTCTTACGTCATGCCATTGATTTCATTGTGGTCATTCACATATATCTTTCCCGGAATTATATTCCCACTGTCCCAGAATGACAATCACCAGTGTTCTGGGTGAATCGTCAATCTAGGTGAAACACCTGAGAGCATGAAAGATCGAGCCACAGAGATTTTACAGGAAAGAGAAAGGGTTGAATGCATCTATCTGGACCTAAAAGAAAAAAAAAAAAAACTTTTGACAGAGTTCCACATAAGTGGTTGTTCTGGAAACTGGAACATACTGGAGGGGTGACAGGTAAGATTCTAACATGGATGAAAAATTTTCTGATAGAAAAATGAGGGCAGTAATCAGAGGTAATGTATCAGACTGAAGAAATATCACAAGTGGAGTACCACAGGATTCAGTTCTTGTACCGGTAATGTTCATTGTCTATATAAACAATCTATCAGATGGAATACAGAATTATATGAACATGTTTGCTGATGATGCTAAAATAATAGGGACGATAAGTATCTTAGATAATTGTCGTGCCTTTCAAGAAAACCTGGACAAAATAAGTATATGGACCACCACTTGGCAAATGGAATTTAATGTAAATAAATGCCATGTTATGGGATGTGGCATAGAACATAGATCCCACACAACCTATAAATTATGAGAGAAATCTTTAAAGAATTTTGATAAAGAAAGAGATCTAGGAGTGGTTCTAGATAGAAAACTATCACCCAAGGATCACATAAAGAACATTGTGTGGGGAGCCTGTGCTACACTTTCAAACTTCAGAATTGCTTTTAAATACATGGATGGCAAAATACTAAAGAAATTAACAATGAAATTACTGTAGTACAATGTGTGTACTAAAGAAATTGTTCACTACTTTTGTTAGACTAAAACTGGAATATGCAGCTGTTATATGGTGCCCATATCTTAAACACGTCAAGAAACTGAAAAGGGTGCAAAGACATGCCACTAAGTGGCTCCCAAAACAGAAGGACAAGAGCTATGAGAAAAATTTAAGGGCATTAAATATGCCAAAACTAGAAGATAGAAGAAAGAGGCGATATGATCACTATGTACAAAATAGTAAAGGAATCGATAAAATTGATACGGAAGAATTCCTGAGACCTGGAACTTCAAGAACAAGAGGTCATAGATTTAAACTAACTAAACAAAGATGCTAAAGAAATATAAGAAAATTCACTTTCACAAACAGAGTGGTAGATGGTTGGAACAAGTTAGATGAAAAGGTGGTGGAGACCAAAACCGTCAGTAATTTCAAAGCGTTATATGACAGTGTGCTGAGAAGACGGGACACCACGAGCATAGCTCTCATCCTTTAACTACACTTAGGTAATTCCACACACATGATGGCAGACTCCTCCTAGTACATGTAGCAATGAAATTGTAGCAGGATATTTTTCAGGAGTTGAGGTAAACTCCATTATGTCCACATAAACCTATTATATTCTTATTTGCATCATAACGTGTAAAACCCAGACAATAATTGTTTAAATCGTCCATTAATGATAACAGCATTTCCCCTGTGAATCAACATGTTACAATGTCAAAAGATTAAGAAATTTTTATTCTACCGTTAATTCATATGTACGCTATGTAATATGTATTATTATATGCGTATGTAACGTTGTAGAGATTATAGTATGCAAGAGATTCTGATATATCAATACAATATACCAGTATATTGTTTATTATGAAATGCAAAGTTTAAGTATTGTACAATACTGCATTGAAAATGTTACTTTAACTATACAAATTTTCAATCTGTAATAACTGATGAAAGCACGGCTTGCCATTTTGCTTGACCTTAAATGTGTCATCATTGTATCTTGAGTTGTTAATAATATATAATTAAGCCAAATTATTTTCTTGTGCAGGTATCCCAGTCAAGCAACCCCTGGCTACCATACCTGGACTCCACAGTAATCGGGGCTATTATTGTACAAGACTTACCTCAAATGCCAAGCTGAAAGTTGGATGCAAACTTACATTCTTTGTATGGGATTAAGAAAAAAATCATTGCTGATGTTTCAAAAATATTTCTTAAACTAAAATGACATTAATTCACACACAACAAAAATTGGTTTTATATTGAGAAAGATGGTTGTGAAATTTTCTAATAATAACAAAAATAATTATGGTGGCATCTTTATTACAGCAAATGTAATCTTGTAAAATTATACTGTGTGTGTGTGCTAAATTTATCTAAAATCATAACTTGTGTTAAAAGACATCATACTTCTAAAGTTATTTTTGGTAAGATTTTCTTCTACTGATACAACTGGCTTGAGTTGTTACCCATATTCTCCCTGATAATTTGATTTTGACCAATAAATTGCTTCATTTTTATTCATAACTTGAAAGATGGATTTTTTTTACTTTTGTATTTCCTAAGCTTTAGGCCAGATTATTACTAGCAGAATGGTGCCAAAAGTAAATGATAGCAATAGTTATGATTCATATTGATATTTTAGCTCTGAATTTAAAGCCTGTCTTTTTTTAAAATCTAGTTCTATAATTAGTTCTAAAAAAATTTTGAGTACTTGTGCTAACGCTACACTAGTGATCAGTAAGCTGAATATTTAAATGATTTGCAAACATTATGGAATTATCAAATTTTGTAGGTTTTTCTATTTACTGTAATGTGTAATGAATGGTATTATAATTTCTTAGTAATTTGGTGGTAAAAATTGTAAAGGGAAGGAAATCCACTGTGATCTAGTGTAGCCAATTGTAGCCTAATATAATATATTATTTGGGCAAGTAATTTTTAATAGAGCTTATATTTTATAATACAGTCTGCATAAGCTGATTAACATGGACAATAGGATCAAATAGCTCCAAAGATTCACAAAGTGTGCATATATATAACTACACATATTAGTAATCATCAGTGAAGTTAATTTTGTTTAGTAACTAGCACAGTGTTTTTAGTTGCCTGCGTGTATCTGTAATGCTGTTATTGGAATTACTGTCCAATTAGTTATTGGAGTTTCTTAAGGTATAAATTTAATACACTTGTTTAAGGCTTGTGGGTTTGCAAGGTTGAATACTGTACCTCAACACCCCCAAATACACTTGTAAATAAAAATAATTTTTTATAAAGTGTGCTACTTGTGCATGAACAGTATTGGAGTGCATTCAGAATCTTCATAATGCATAACTGCTAACCAGCTTGTATTCTTTCGGTGCTTGAAGTACAAGTGGTAAACATTTTTCTGAAGAATTCTGCATCATTGACTCCCAGATGACTGGAGGAAAAACCATATATTTGTCTTGTGTATATAGTCATTTTAATTATTTTCATACACTGTAGATATAATACTTATTAAAAATATAATTTGTATGTTCATTATAATGTGTGTAGAAAAAAATTGCCATTTTTGCATGCTGCTTACCATATATTGCATACATATTTAATGAGCAGTCTTGCAAAGTAATGTTAATTACTTTTTTCATTTGGTGTACTGTTGTAATTGTTTTAGAACTGGCAATACTTGTGGTTGACTTACAGTATTGGCTTAAAAAATTGTCTTGTGTCTTGAAACATGAAAGGGTGGTGGTTGTGTTCGAGCTTCGGAGTAGTGTCCAGTTGTCTCTGTGAAAAGACATTTATAAGGAGTGTAAAGTCAAATATTTTATGTAGAATTCAGAAATTGATACTGTAATGCTGTTAAAAATTAGTTTCTTTTTGGTAAAGTAGTTTTAAGCATCATTTCAAAGGCTATTATCAGAAGTGGTCAAGTTTTAACTAAATGGTAAATAATCTTCACAAATTGATTACTAGTATCCCAGAATGGTTCTTTATTTTTAAGGGTTGCTTTTGGTTCCCAGCGAGGTGCGAGTTCACACAAGATATGTAATGAGGCAAGTGTGGAGGGAACATGGTTGTATCTAAATGTGTTATGGACATATTAATATTTTGATAGCATTTGATATATGTTCATTATAGAAACTGAAACATTAAGCATTAGTTCAAGGATTTATATGTGAATCTGTAAATAATTTGTATTATGCATTATTTACTTTTTAATAGTGAACAAAAATTTGAAATTTATATTTTAAGTTTATTAAATATATTTCATCACACCGAGACATTTACTGTATATCCTCAACCACAGTAACCATCTGGTTTTGTTGCTAATTAAGTTTTTTAATATTAAATAATTAGACTTCTTATGAAATATGTACAGTATTTTGATATGTACTATGCTGATAAATATATAGTGTAAATTTGGATAAGTTTTTAAATTGCTTCTTAAACTTTGTTTTAAAGTACTGTACTTTGTGTATTCAATTTGTACTACAGAACACCATAAGAAAGAGGCTAATATAAGATCTGGAGAAAATGGCATTTAACCCAAAACCAATCTTGGTTTAGAGATGAAAAATCATGCATCACAGCTTGTTTAAATGCAATGATGGGAGAGGTATATAGTTTTTAGAATGTTGGAAAGTTTTTTGATGTGGTACCCCATAGACTAATGCCCAAAATGGAGAGACAAGAGTGACAAAGATGCTACAGCAATTATAGGAGTACCTCAGCAACAGAAAATGGAGACACAGTGAGAGGCGAGATCTGAAGTGTGATGGGATGATATTAGCAGTCAGTACTAGGGGTAGTTTTAGTCTTAATCTGTCGATGATTTACCAGAGGGAATGCACTCCTTTAAAATGTTACCCATTACTAATTCCAAATTATGTACAGTACTATTTAATGTGACCTATCCATTAAATTAATTGCTTGGCTAAAACAAATGGAATACAAAATATATGTAAATATAGTAAAAACTTATGAGATTAAAATACGTAAAATCGGCAATAATGTGTTAAATTAAGTTCAATTATATATAATCAATCCAAATACTGTATACTGTATTTGTAAATCTTAATTTTATCGTAATTATAAAGAGTTTAAAATTAAAAAACTAGGTGGAATCAACTCTCAATTGATTAATAGACCAGAGTTTAATTCCCTACAGGGTGAGGCTTGTGAGCATGTTTCCTTACACCTGTTGCCTCTGTTCATTAAAAGCAACATAGATATTGTTCCATAGGGTTGTAAACCCATGGAACCGCCTACCCGCCGAAGCCGTAAATGCCAAAACTGCTGGGGTTTTAAAATACAGCTGGAAAAGTTGATCAGGGCAAATGAGGGGAGGGGGTGACCTTTCACAAACCGCCGGCTTCCTGTCCTCGTGGAAGCCACTATTATTAGTGGCCCTCAAGTGAGTTAAGTAGCTGCTGTGGGTTACATCGTAGTAAGGGAAGTTAGTTGGCACGTAGTGGAGTCTTAAGCCTCACAGCTATAGGCTTCCTGTCTCTTGACAATCGAAAATTAAAATTTTATTACTTCTGTATAGCTATAGTTATGTAAGCCTACAATGCCTGTTTATCTTAAGTATAAATTATTAAGTATAAGTATAAATTCAACGATTTTGTTTTAAGTTTCACTTTTGTAGACAAGGCTGAAGTTCATAGATTTTTCTACTCTCCTGAAATTTACGATTAAAATTATATGTAAAATTAAAATTATATAGCCTATTGATGACACCAACATAGTATAAAAAAATCCATTTCAACGGTTTCTACTGCTCTGTCTTCTCGACATCGGATGTTCAATATAGGAATAAAGTTTTTTTTATTATTATTATTCTTTTCTACCACAGACGTGGCCACACATTTACAATGCTAACTAGCATATACTGTATACATTTTCTTCTGTCCTCCATAGACAGGGTGAGAGATTTGTCAAACATACTGTTCAGAGTAACGGAGTGCGAATAGCTTGAGCAACCTCATCCCTTTGTGTGTGTTTTACCTCAATAAACTTATTTCAATTTCAATTTCAATTCAATACAGTTCAGAGATTTATTGAGCAGCCACAGAAGGTGATCGTAGTGCTTTTAAAATATTAGGCTAAGCTATATACTTAAATACA